AAAATGTGTTTGCCCTAATTTATGTGAAAAAGTGTGATGACTTTGAGGTCGGTTTTTTTCAAATTAGTATCAAAGCAATCAATTTCTGGAAACCACCGACTCGATCGGGCGTTCATGTCTTCATCAATGACGATCGTCTCAACCGCCGCGTAACAATTCATCCCTTCCTAATTGCGGCGTATAGTCTCAACTGCATGAAATAATTGCAATCAGACCTAGTTGGGAAGCAATCGGCAGGCTCGAGGCGATTAAAACGATTGTGATTCAACCTAGCTAGGTCACGCAATAACCCCAGGATCGCAACTAGAGGGGTAAATTCGTGTTCGTCTAGTTTGCACCAACACCTGTTCGAAGTAGGCTCGTGTTCGAATTAGGCTCATAATAAATCTATTCATGTCGGCTATTGCTTGTGAGCAACTTGAAATAAATTTATTTGTTTATTTGCTCAATTTTGGCTCAAATTAAATCGAGCATAACTCGTAAGCAAAATTCCCAAGCAAACCATGCGTGTTTTCCTATTTTTAAACTATTCTAAGGCTGTAAGAAAAATTTTGTGCACACATTTTTCAAATTGAGTCAATTTGAATTTATTTTATATTAATTCTACACAACATTCTCAAGCGGCTTGAGAATGTTGACTCGTGTTCGGCTCGTTCGAAACTGTTCGTATTCGAAATCGGCTCGTAAACAATGTGTTCGTATTCGACTCGATTTAAATATTTGTGTTCGTCTTCGGCTCATGTTCGGCTCAAAATTGGCTTAAAATTAAATTGAAAAAAATAGATGTAAAGTGTCGGATTCAAACCTGGACCAAATGTATGCAAATTAAGACACTAATCACATTACCACACAATGTGTTACGACATAAACTTGAATATAAATATATATAATATATGATTATATAAATAATATATGTAGTATATATATATATAAATATATATATAATTTTGAACTTAGATATATATATATATATATATATATATATATATATATCGAGCTAAAACGAGCCGAACACGAACGAACAAAAAGTTGTTCGTGCTCGGCTTATTTATAATTCGAGCTTTAAAAAAGCTATTCGTGCTCGGCTTATTTATAATTCGAGCTTTAAAAATTTGTTTGTGTTCTACTCGTTTACTTAACGAAAGAGCCGAACAAGAGTTGTTCGCAAACAATGAGCTTTTTTGAGGGTCCTACTCGAACCATGTATTCATTTGATATTTTAGTGTGCACGTTCTTCAACATGAGGAAATTTGAGTTTATTTTTATTATAAGCACGAGCAACAATTTCGGATCGTGCATGTTCTTCTAAAGAGGATGTATGACAAACCCTCCAATATTTCTCGAAATCTCGCAAGTGCATCATTTAGATTTAAGCCTTTATTTAAAAGCATCTTCTTCCATCTTCAGAGCTAATACTACGCATTGTTTTATCAATTTTAATTGCATACATTTTGATTATTATAGTTGCATCCTTCTAAAATTATTCCTCCTCCAAACTTTTGTTTTTATTTAAAGTAATATAATGTTCAAAGGTTATTCCTAGCATTATATATACACAAGTGCAGAATAATCAATCATTTGCAGTCCTCTGCCTTTCTTGGTATGATTATCTAAGGTGGAAGAGAGCAAACATGTAATACCCTAAGTTCTGCACTTCATAATTTTTTTCGAGTGCAGTGAAATTTTTTCTACTCTGATCATGATTTTCCTCGCCTAAGATTTTCCAATTCAATCAATGTTTTATTCTTTTTGCTCTTTTTGTTGTTGATCATATCAACAATTTTTAATTGCTATTTAGTCTGAAAATATGTTATGCTCGGCCATTTAAAAACACAGTATTTCTCTTTGGTCTTAGTATGATAGTGTAAGATCCATTTTTTTTTTTCCTTTCCTTCCTCAATTCGCTGCTTCACTAATTTCTCTATTCCCTTGCCTTTTTTGCGAACTTGTTCCTTCCACCTTCCAAATCGGGACTTTCGCCAAAACATTTCTTTTTCTTCTTCGTTGCAACGCCTCTTTCGGCTGCTTAAGGAAGACCGATGTCGAAGCTAGGGCATTGCACTTGCCTCTCTCTCACCTCCTCATATAGCCACCGAACCCTCTCGACCAACTCTTTTTTTCCTTAGCTCAGATCCCTCGCCTTTCTGACCAAACCCTCACAGCACAGTTACAATTAGAGCAAGTCGAAAAAGAAACAACGGGGTCGTGGCATACAGAGACCACCAAAACTCCTATCTTTCACCCACACCTTCCTTCAAACCGCAACTCCATTTCACTCTCCATCCCTTTCCTCTGTTTCTTTCTTTTTTTTTCTTTTTTCTTATCTCTTTTATTCAAATGTGATTGATATATATATATATATATATATATATATATATAATTTCC